AACGAAAGATCCATTCAAATACTAAAAGCCTTAAAATCCCGAAAGGCGTAGAGTCCTTAAACTCCAGCAAAACTTCAGCAGAGAAGAAGGCAAGGTGTTTTCAAGATAAAAAGGGGTCTCAGGGTCTCAGGGTTTAGGGCGTAGGCGCTTAGGCGCTCAGGCGCTTAGGAGCTTAGGAGCTTAGGGTTTAGGGTCTAGGCGCTTAGGCGCTCAGGAGCTTAAGAGCTTAGGAGTTGATGGTTTAGGGTTTAGGGTTTAAGGGATTAGGGGGTAGGCGCTTAAGCGCCTAGGCGCTTAGGAGCTTAGGAGCCTAGGTTTTAGGGTTTAAGGTCTATAAGGGTTTAGGGGGTAGGCGCTTAGGTGCTCAGGAGCTTAAGAGCTTAGGAGCCGGGACCCAGGGACCTTCTTTTAAATTTTATCATTTCCTTAAAACCCTTAACAATCTTGAAAGCCCGGGCCTTCTAGATTTTGAGGGTTTTAAGGTTTTTTCAAAGTTAAAAAGGCGGGGAGGCCCAGCGCCTGCCCCTTAATCCTTAAACCCTAAACCCTAAGCTCCTAAGCTCCTAGGCTCCTTAGCGCCTAAGCGCCTACCCCCTAAACCCTTAAACCTTAAACCCTAAACCCTAAGCTCCTAAGCTCCTGAGTGCCTACCCCCTAGATCCATAAACCCTGAGCTCCAAAGCTCCCTAAGCTCCTCAGCGCCTACCCCCTAAACCCTTAAACCCTAAACCCTAAGCTCCTGAGGTCCTAAGCGCCTAAGCGCCTACCCCTAAATCCTTAAACCCTCCTAAGCTCCTAAGCTCCTCAGCGCCTAAGCGCCTACCCCCCAAACCCATAAACCTTAAATCAAACCCTATAAACCCTAAGCTCCTAGGCTCCGAAACCCAGAAGCCTAAACCCCTAACTATAAGCTCCCAAGCTCCTCCTAAGCGCCTCAGCGCCTACCCCCCACGCCGTGAGACCCCGGGACCCCTTTCAAATTTTAAAGTATTTTACTTCGAACATCCCCACCTTAGGGATTTGGATTGGGCTTGGGCACTCCAGCGAGGGAGTCTCTGGGTTGGGCATTCCAGGGAGTCTCTAAACTGGGCACTCCAGGAAGACTCTACTCCACTCCAGACTCTCTGGGCATTGCAGGGAGTCTCTGGGGTTGGGCACTCCAGGGAGACTCTGGGGAAAACTGTGCACTCTAAAAGACTCTGGGGTTGGGCACTCCAGGGAGACTCTGAAAAAACTCTGGGGCTGGGGATTTCGGGAAACTCTGGGCACTCCAGGGAGACCCTGGGGTTGGGCACTCCAGGAGTCTCTGGCTGGGCAATTCGGGGAGTCTTGAATTTCTGTAATTGGGCAGTCCAGGGAGTCTCTAGGAGTAGACCGGGCGAGGAGAAGAGTTCCGGGCGAGGAGAAGAGTTCCGGGCGAGGAGAAGAGTTGAATTTAAAATCTAACGACCCCACACCGAAGGTCGGGAAAAACCCTTGCCTTCTTCTCCGCTGAAATGTTCTAGGCTTTAAGGATTTTGAGAGATTTGAATATTTAAAAGGAGCTTTCGTTTTTGAGGTTGAGGGCACGCTAGGGCTGGCAAAAGTCCTTTGCTAGGGTTTACAAAAAACCCTTTCGCTTAAACGGGTTTACAAAATGCTTTCGTTTTTGAGGATGGGGGCACACCAAGGTTTACAAAGATCCTTTCGTTTTTGAAGTTGAGGACACACTAGGGTTTACACAACAACTGACCTTCTGACGTCGCAGGCGTACCAGGTTGATAAACAAACCTTTCGTTTTTGATGTCGGGGACATATCGAGGTTCAAACCAAGCCTTTCGTTTAAAAATTATGGCGCTTTAAGGTTTTGCAAGGCAACAGCTTTCGCTAACGTTGTTGCAGTCTTACGTTTTCAACTCTTTAAGATATTTACCAGGCAACCTGAAGAGCATTTTTGTAAATAAACAGTACGATTGAGGTCTTAGGTCTCCACTCTAAATTTTGATATTTTGCACTCACCAGAACTAAAACTGTTTGCATCGTTCAGTTACCGTGATGTTTGCCCAACGTTGATATCTTGAGCCTCCTAAATTTTTTGAAAAAACTCAAGACCTCAATTCGACTCTTCAAAATCTTTAAATCATGGGCCCTCTAACAGAACACCCTTTAAATGGCTCAGTGTGGTTCTTTTATTCATCGCATCTCTCCCTCTTTCTTTCTCTTTCGCTCTCGCTTTCTCTCTTTCTCTCTCTCTCTCTCTCTTGCCTTTGTCTCTGTCGCTCTCTCTCTCTCTCTCTCTCTCCCTCCCTCCTTCCTTCCTTCCTTCATCCCTTTCTCTTCTTCTCTTCCTTCTGCTTGTTCTTTCCTCTTTCCCGCCGCTCCCGTTTTCTACTTGCCATTCAACAGGGAATGAAAGAAGAAAGTCAAGGATAAGAAAGAGAAGGTACTGACAACAGAGGAGCTGGAATTCTCCTTCAAGAAGGAAATAGAACCACAGAAAGTCAAGGGTGAGAAAGAAGTGTGAAGGTACAGACAAGAGAGGGGGAAGAGGAGGAGTTCTGCTTGATCCTTCCCACGACCCTCTGTCTACCTACATCTCTCTGTCAATTTTTTCTCTTGTTGGAAACGGGGGACAGGATCTTACTGTCCTCTTTTCCCCTCTCGCAGTCTTCTCTCAAACCCCTGGGAGGCCCTTTCAGGGAGCCCCTCAGGGAAGCCCCCTTGCGAAAACTGCAGGCTCCTGGTGGATATTGAAAGAAGCAGATTCACAGAAGAAGGGAAGGCTCGAGAACGACAGATACGGAGCAAGGGATAGAGAAACGGAAAAAGGAGAGAGAAGCAACTATCCTCTCCAAGCTGTTTTCAGAGTGACCCCAAAGACCGGGGTGGGCGTGAGCTCGCCCCTTGCCACTCGAAAGCCTCCCCTTCTTGAAACAAGCAAAAGGCAGGAACCCCTTCTTTCAAAGAATCCGTGTCAGAAGAAAAAAGGATACTGCGATAGCCCCTCATTCGTATTTTAATTCCTCCCAGATGCTTTCGGCTCTTTTCCTTGATAGATGAGTGGGTCCATCCTCTTCTTTCGGGGTGGGAGAGTATATTTTCTTAGAATGAGCCCTTCCGTGCATTCTTACATCAGAGGTAGCCCGGCCTATGTTGAATACAGATAAGGGCGTTGTCCTGAAAGGCTCTCCTGTTCTAAGGAACACCATGAATGATAGAAGCCTTCATTTGAAAAGGGATCAAAGAGCCCCTCCAGCATTTCAATAGACGACAGGATTTCGCTGTTCTCAGGAATGCTATTGTCTTTAACAAGCTCTCTTTCTCCTTCCTTTCGTTCTCCCTCTTCGTGCGCCCGCTTTCTGCACTCTCCCTTTCTTGCGTCCCTTCTGCGGGCCCTTTCTTCCTCTGTTCCTTTTGTCATTGCGTAGGGGGCATAATTAGACGAAGGGCAAGGTTAAGCAAGGAGAATGAAGAGAATGATATGATGGAAAGAGGACTTCTCCTGCTCCTTGTAACTACCTTCCACACTTCTCTACATGTCTACATGATCTTTTCCCTTATTTTTCTTCTTAGCAACACGGGGAAAGGGTCCTCCTCTCACGCCTCTCTTTCACTCTTGGAGGCCCCTGGATGACACTCTCTGAAGGCCGCCTGAAACTCTTGGGGGATCAGAGGGATGAACAGAAAGCACCAGGGGGCACCGGAGTGAGAGAGATGGAGACAGATAGAGAAGCAAAGAGAAGGTGACAGTAATCAGGGAGAAGAGGAAGAAGGAAGACAGTGGAAGAGCGACAGATAGGGAAACAGGGTGAAGTAAACAGAAACAATGAAGAAGAGGAAGGAGGAAGCGACGGTGAAAAGAGGGCCGCTTGGAGAACAAAAAGGAGACAGAGAAGATCAAGAAGAAAAGAGAACAGGTAGGGCAGGACACTTGTCTTTGTTATCCACTGTTCCTTTTCCTCATCCCTTACACTTTTTTCCCGAGCATCGCTCACTCCTTTCGTCCACGGTCTTCGTCCTTCATTCCCCCTCTCTATATCCTATCCTTTCTCTAGCTCTCCTTCCTTTCTTTTCCCATGTTTGTTCTCATCCTTTCTCCGCTCTCCCTTTTCTCGCGTCCATGCCATGAGCCTTTCCTCCTCTGTTCCTTTTGTCATAAAGTAGTCATAAAGTAGGAGGATAGAACATGGGCAAGGTTCAGCAAGGAGAATGAAGGGAATGATAAGATGGAAGGAGGACTTGTCCTGCTCCTTCTAACTACCTTCCACACCTCTCTACATGTCTCTGAGTCTTTGTTCTTTTCTCTTGTTTTTCTTCTTAGCAATGTTTGGAAAGGGTCCTCCTCTCACACCTCTCCTTCACTCTTGGAGACCCCTTGGGGACGCTCCCTGAAAGCTGCCTGACAACTTTGAGGAAGGCTCAGAGGGTTTGGAGTGTGTGGAAAAAGGCAGTGCAGGGCCATGTCCAGATCAGTGCCTCGTAAAACAGAAAGGATGAGCAATGAACGGAAAACGCCGGGGGGCGCCGGAGAGAGAGAGAGAGAGAGATGGAGACAGATAGAGATCAGGGAGAAGAGGAAGAAGGAAGACAGCGGAAGAGGGACAGCGTGGCAACGGGGTGAAGGAAACAGAAACAATGAAGCAGGAGAAGCAGGAAGCGATGGTGGAAACAGGACCACTTGGAGAACAAAAAGGAGACAGAGAAGATCAAGAAGAAAAGAGAACAGGTAGGGCAGGACACTTGTTTTTGTCATCCACTGTTCATTTTCCTCACCCTTACGCTTATTTCCCGAGCATCGCTCACTCCTTTCTTCCACGGTCTTCGTCCTTCATTTCTCCTCTCTATCTTTCTATCCTCTCTCTAGCTCTCCTTCCTTACTCTTCCCATGTTCGTTCTCCTCCTTTCTCCGCTCTCCCTTTTCTGAGAGACGGACCATGTGGATAAAAAGTAATTAGATGACATCATGCATCCAATGACTGCACTTCACGCTTCTTGGCACCTCCTTGGTGTCCTTTTCGCTGATGTTCGAAAGGATATGAATTTCGTGCAGTGGAACGAATAGACTAGGGAAGACCAGGGCAAGAAGAGTGGCCTCTTGTTCGCATAAACCCTAAGCCTAAACCCTAAACCCCATGATGAAAATCCCGAGCTCAAGAGGCTAATTAAACCTTAAGCAGACAAACCCTACCCAGTCATCTCTAGGCTAACCCGAAAACCGACAACGAACCCTTAAACCCTTAAGTCCCAAGTACTAAATTTACTAAATGCTAAACTCAAATCCCTATAAAACATTCGATGCCTCTGCCCAACCCAAACCTGGGCAGGAGAAGTTCAACCACGGCGCCGAGTTTTTTTTTGAAGGGTTGTTTCTTAAGTTTTTATTCTGTTTAAAATATAAAACAAAAGGGGTTGCCAAATAATACACAAAGGTCCATGCCACTTTAGGGTTTAGGGTTTAGGATGTAGGGTTAGTGCTTCGTTGTATATTCCGGTTTCGGTTGTTGTCCTGAGAGATTGGAATTCTATTCCTCGTTATTCCAACCCCCTCCCCCCCTCACGCTGTCACGCCCGACTACGCAACATTCCCATCAGTATCCACCCAACATGTTCTCACCCACACCATAACCCCCAACATTGCCGCCAGCCCGGCCAGCACCATCACTCACCAGTACTCGCGATTCCCACCATCCCACCCTTCCCACCATTCTCACCATTACCCGAAAACCTTCCCCCTTTCCGCCAGCACCAGCATCGCCCACCATTGCCCACCACTCTCACCATTCCCACCACTCTCACCATTCCCACCCACAACCCACCATTACCCACCACTACCCACCATGACATGACCCACCATTTCCACCGTTCCCCAATTCCCCGCAATTGCCAGCCATTATCTACCATTCCCCACCCTCATTACCCGCCAACCCCCACCAGTCCACCACTACCACCCCCACCATTTCCACCAGTACCCACCGCCCATCATTCCCATCACTACCCTGCCCATCATTCCTGCCAGGGCCTACCATTCCCCGCCACTGCTCACGATTCCCGCCATTACCCACGACTACCGCCACTGCATACCATTCCCATCGTAACCCACTCCCGCCATTACCCACGATTGTTACAGTTGGTGCGTAGGGAATGAGGAATGAGGTACACCATATAATCCTTCAAAGGGTATATATAGGGGGATACAAGGTACCTCATTCCCTCATTCCTCCCTACTACCCAACGGTAAGGATTTCCCACCACTCTCCCTTTCCCCACCATGGTTCACCATTACCCAAAACTAAGATGGGACTCCCGAGACCAGCAAAGGGAGCCCGGCAGAATCACATGAACATAGATAAACCCCAAACCCTAAACCCTCAGCCCCAAACCCTAAACCCCAAACCCCAAACCCTAAACTCTAAACAGCAAAATCATGCCCTTTAGGATGTCGGACTTTCGGCTTTCAGGTTGCCATGGGGCCATGGGGATACCCACCCCAGAATCCCTACTGAATCCCCAAAGCCCCAAAAGGTTTAGCCCCGACAGCCTAAAAGCCCCACAGCCCTAAACGCCCCACAGCCCTAAACCCCTAACCCCTAAACCCTAAACCCTAAACCCTAAGCCCTAAAAGCCCGGAAAACTCTAACCCTGAGGTGACCGTGCTCTCGGTGAAGCTGGCCAAACCACAGCGAGAGCGCGTGCGCAAACTTAAGCAGGCTCCGATCCGGTCCGGGTTCGGGTATTTAGGGCTGTGAGCGGTTTTTCAGCTTAGGGATTTTTTGAGGGTTTGGGCGTTTAGCGGTTTTAAAAGGGGCTTTTGGGATTTTGAGGATCTTAGGGCTTTGGGGGTTTTCGGGCTTTAGGTTTTTTTGGTTTTAGGGCCACAACCTTACGCCTTTTCGTAGGGTTTACAGTTCACTCAGCAGACAAAGCATTCCATACTTCAAGCCTGAGGCAAATCCAAGCCTTATCCCACGCGCTTAGCACAAGAGTAGGTGTTATTTGAAGGGCTTGTGTCAGGGTTTATAGCGTCCAGGGTTTAGGGTTTAGGGTTTGGGGTTTAGGGTTTAGGGTTTAGGGTTTAGGGTTTAGGGTTTAGGGTTTAGGGTTTAGGGTTTGGGCTTAGGGATGAGTACAAGGGTTTCGCGTTTGGAGGTGTAAGTTTTTTTTTTGGGCTTGGACCCTTAGGCCTCCCCAAAGCCCGAAACTCCATGACTCTCGATGGACTTCTGGTCTGTTTAGGGTTTAGGGTTTAGGGTTTAGGGTTTAGGGTTTAGGGTTTAGGGTTTAGGGTTTAGGGTTTAGGGTTTAGGGTTTAGGGTTTAGGGTTTAGGGTTTAGGGTTTAGGGGAGCTCCTCACCCGCTGTGGAGTTCATGTGCTGGCAACCTGGGGGGTCCAATCTGGGGTTCTGATGGAGTTCCAGGTCCAAAGTTAGGGTTTAGGGTTTAGCGTTCGGGATTAGGGTTCGGGGGTTCAGGTCTCTGTCGGGTTTAGGGTTGCTTAGGGACTTGGGATTGTTTAGGGTTTAGGGTTGTTTTGGGGTTTTAGGTAGGTGTTTTGGAATAATTGTTTAGTGTTTGAGGGTGTAGGGTGATGGGTTTAGACCCGAAAGGAGCACCCAGCGCCCAGGGGCACGTTGACAATGTCTTCCCTCTTGCGAGTGGCTACGTCAAGAAAGAGAAGGCCAGCCGCCGCAGCATCTGGGATTGGAGGTTGGGGATTGGTGTTGCCAGGACCCTAGACCCTCTAAACAAGGATTTGGGGTTGGAACCCTAAACCCTACACCCTGAACTCCAAACCCTAAACCCTGAACCCTAAATCCCCAAGCCCTATAAGCCCTAAATCCCTAAACCGTAAACTCCAAACCCTAAACCCTAAACCCTAAACCTTGAACCCTGAACCCTGAACCCTAAATCCCTAAATCCCTAAACAAAAATCCCCGAAAAGCCCCCTTAGACCAGGATTTGGCTTTCGGGCTTGCAGAAGTACCATCCCCCAGCGCCAACGTGTCACGTTGTGGTGGTTGTTGCTGGCAAGTGTTCAATTTTACCTGGGGGGTGTGGTCAGGGGGTTAAGACCTTTTTGGGGTTGCTGTGGCCTAGTACTTTGGGGTATATAAAGTGGGGAAAACCCATTTGGAAGTAGATGTGAAGTTCTGTGAGCCTATCGACCCGAATCCCTATTTACGGCTTCCTCTAACCAGGATTAGAGCACTTTGGGGGATACGCGGGCTCCCCGGCATTTTGGGAGAAGCCAATTTGGAAATAGTTGTAAACTTTTCTAGGTCTTTGGGCCCTCATCCCTATGTAACCCTAAATCGCCCACAGAGGCTTTGTGGTGCTTTACTGTAACTTTACATCTTTAGCCTTTTTGGGTTTCTTGGGTTTCTTAATAAGGCAGCTAAACGTTTAATTTTTTGCTAACCTCCTAAGTGCAGCCACAAAGGCTTGCGTGGTCAAGAGGCCTCCCAAATCCACCCAGGTTGCTTGCTAGTTCGTCATCGGGAGACAGGGATTTGGGGTCTAAGCTTACTAGAATTCAACCAGGGAAGTAGGCGCCCGTGTGACCCCTTACCGGGCTGTATAGCGCGATGTAGAGTTCCTGATGTCTCCATTCGGAACGAAGAAGGTTTAAGGTCTGGGGGTTCAGATGGCGTAGCGTTCAGGGTCATGGGCGTGTGGGCTTGGGTTTCGGAGTTTGCGTGGCATCTAGACCCCTACAGCCGAAACCTTCAAACTCCTTTGTTCTTCCGTTGGCGCAGGATAGCACTGACACAGTCGGCAGAAGGCAAGAAGTCAAGCAGGAACTGCACCTGCTTTTTTTCTCCTTCTCTCTCTCTCTCTCTCGCACGCTTAGACTAGAGTTTTTGTTGGTTCGAACTCGCTGCCCTGGCTATTCTCTCGAACCCGATCCCGTTTTTCCAGCCATGCGTTGCAATCTGGGGCTCGGCTGGGCATAGCAGGATGCAGACTTCAGGGTTATGGGTTAGGAATCGGAACTTGGTTTAGGGTTTAGGGTTTAGGGTTTAGGGTTCTTGGTTTAGGGCTTTTGTTAAGGTTCACCCTTCAGAGTCCCTGGGGTGCGAAGAAGCCAAGGCTCAGAACTCCAAGCTCCGGAAGTTGCAAAATGAAATCACAAAGTCCCGAAACAAATGCTTCCAGGGTTTAGGTTTTAGGGCTTAGGGTGGATTGGGGTTTAGGGTTTAGGGTTTAGGGTTTAGGGTTTAGGGTTTAGGGTTTAGGGTTTAGGGTTTAGGGTTTAGGGTTTAGGGTTTGGGGTTTAGGGTTTCAAACCCCAGTCATGGGTTGTGAGTGAGGGCTCAGGCAGAGACGAACTTGTGGGGTTTCGGGGCTGACGTGGGGGTGCAAGGCGTGGGGTTCAGCTTTGAGTTTTGGGGACCACGGATTCAGGTTTAGGGTTCAGGGTTCAGGGTCTAGGGTTTAGGGTTTAGGGTTTAGGGTGCGGGTTTGCAGTAGGGTGCGCAGGGGCTCCGCCCGCTGAAGCTTGAAGAAACCTGAACCGTGAACCCGACGTCCTGAAGTGCCAACTCAGCTATTCACTTTCCCTGGCCCCGCATCAGACCTGAAACCCTAAACCCGAAACCCTAAACCCTACACCCTAAACCCTAAACCCTAAACCCTAAACCCTAAGCCCTAAACCCTAAACCCTAAACCCGAAACCCCTAAAGCCCTAGTTACAATGTTGTGTGCTCAAAGCTTCGGGACTCCTGGTTCTTCAGGCACACTCGGAGGATGAAGGTAAAAGGGCCTCAGTACGTATAGAAGTACCAAAAACTAGGGACTCTCATGGGGAGGGGAGGGGGGGGGGGGGGTAGTTCCCTAAACCCTGAACCCTAAACCCTAAACCCTGAACCCTAAAACCCGAAACCCTAGACCCGAAACCCTAAAGCCTAAACCCTAGTTACTAGCCCTCTATGCTACTTAAGAACCTCATACTTCATCATTCAGTACGAAGTCACTTGAGCTTCGAAGCAGGGCTTCTTCAACCGAGCCAGGGCCTTCGCTGAAGGCTTGCCCTCGCTTACAAGGGTTTAGGGTTTAGAGTTTAGGGTTTAGGGTTTAGGGTGTTTAGGGTTTGAGGTTTACTTCGGGTTTAGGGTTTAGGGTGTAGGGTTCAGGGTTTAGGAGTTGAGCGCAGGAGCTGGCACGGGATGTCAAGAAGGAGTCGGGAAAAGCCGCGGTGGAGGTAAAGAAGGAAGTGAAGCAAGAGGTCAGGGATGCGGCAAGAGAGCGCCAGATGCAGAAGGAGGTGGCAAGCGTCACACATAGCAAGTCGAGCTTGGGTGTGAAGGAGGAAGCAAAGACTGAGACGTGCAAGGTGGAGGTGAAGGAGGAGAGAGAAACGGAGAAAGGCAAGGAGGTCAAGGAGGAGTCGAGGGAGGATGCGAAGGAGGAAGTTAAGGATGAGGTGAAGGATGAGGTGATGGAGGATGTGAAGCAAGTGAAGGCGGAGGTGAAGGAAGAGGTGATGGAGGAGGGCGCTTCAAGCACAACCTAGTTTGCACCCCCGAAGTTTGGTGTTCCTCTTCCTCCAACCTTACACTTGTCTCGACGTCGTCATTGTGAGTGTGAGAACCACATGGCTTGTGTCGCATGTTGATGGTAGAGCCCCCTTCTGGGCGAAGCGAAGCAAGAGACCCCGCAACCCGACGCTTCTCAGAGGAGATGGTGCCGGAGATCAAGAACGGGGTAAAGAAGGAAGTGAAGCGTGAGATCAAGCGGGAGGCTGCCTTCCAGACTGCATCGTGTAGCCTGCAGTTGAATGATGCGCGAGAGTCGTGTAGAACCTCCGCTGGGTTTGCTGGCCTAGTTACTATCGACACCACCGCAAACGTGAATTCCGACATGGGTCCAGGAGTTTAGGGAAGAGAAGCAGCGCGTTGCTGTTTTTGAGGTTTGTGGGCTAGTTTCGGCTGAGGAAACAAACGTATAAACCTGGCAGACAAACCCAGACCACTAGTGCCAGTTCCCGGATGCAGAGAAGTTTGTTGCAGGATCTCACGTGGAACCGCCAGACGCTGCTCAGCTTTGAGTCGTCCGGGATTCAGGTCGCAGCGTTTAGAGATTGAACTTGGCATTTTTTCTGAGCCTGAAGTTGTACTGGATGTTGCAGTTGGTGTGGAAGTTTGCAGACATGGTTGCTGTATCCGGACTGTCCGAAACCTGGAAGGAAGTAAGGCAAATCAGAGAGGACAGTAACCGAGCTGTCTGAACCACCTTCTCCTGAAAACCCCGCAGAGAGATCCTGTACTCGCTATTGAAAGAAGCCGAAATCCACTGCGTGCATAGATTGCCTGTTGTTTCGCACTATTTGTCTAACCACGCGCACCGGACGCTACAAAATCCAGTACCCCGTTTTTCGCTGAGGACCAGAGTGAAGCAGGAGTGTGTGGAAGAAGCCCAGCGCACGTGCTCGGTCAAGCAGGAAGCAGCCGAAGAGGCCGGATCAGTTCGTCGTCCCAGCAAGAGGCGCCGCATCAGTCACAAGAGGCCGGACATCTCGCCTCCATCGTTTGAGTCGCGGCTGCCAGAGTGGGCCGAAAAATGCCTAGCATTTCAAAGCTCTGGCAAGACGTGGCTGCCCACGAAGCCTTGCTGCCCGGCCAGCCCGTTCCTGGGGCTGGCAGCTGCGCCGTGGGAAGGATGTGAGGAGGATAGGACAGTGCCTTGCGTGCAGCGCCTGGGCAAGGTGCAGTTCTGCGAGTTCCGGGACTTCTTCCACGAGAACCCGCACCATGCCCTCTTCAATGATCACGGCAAGGACCCTGGTGGTTCAGGGCCAGTGGAGAAGGCGCACGGTCCCAAACCTGAGCACTTGCAGGATCCAGCTGCGAAGCAGCACCGTGCAGCGGAGATGATGAAGATGTGGCCCTGGATGCACGACCTTCCGACGCGGGCGTGGGCCGGCCACGGCTGGCTGGTGGAGGAGGACGGCATGCGCAGGCTCTCGCCGACCGGCGGCGGCTCCGCCATGAAGGGCCTCGAGATCTTCGAGGCCTTCGGCGCCGTGCCCGAGGAAAGCCAGGAAGCCCCCGGCGCCTCGGCTCCGAGCAGCTCCGGGGCCGCCGGAGCCGATCTCATCACGAGGAGCTTCCGCAGCCTGGAGCGCCAGAGCGGGGTGCAAAACATCAGGTGGAAACAGGACAAGGCATGCTGGTGTGTTTCCCACACGTACTCAGGCAAACAGAAGCAGCTCCACTTCCCCATCTCCAAGCGCATGAGGGAGGGCCTCTCCGAGGACGAGGCGGTGGCGGCCGCGCTGGCGGAGGCCAAGGCGCACCGCGAGGAGCTGGTGCGCCAGGGCAAGCTGCAGCCCCCGAAGCCCGTCACAGCCAAAGCCTCCGGGTCCACGGTGAGGGGCGTCAAGTGCCGGGAAAACGGAACCTTTCGGGTGCAAATCACCAATCCACGCACAAACAAGAAAGAGGAAGGCGGCACCTTCAAGACGCTGGCGGAGGCCGAGGCCAAGGCGCGGGAGATGGCCAAGAAGCTCGGGCTCCAAGCCGAGGGCGAGGTGGTGCCGGTGGACCGGCTCGCGGAGGCCCCGCACTTCGAGCCGCTCGGGCCGCAGCCGGGAGTGAAGTGGAGGCACGGTGCGCAGCATTGGCAAGCCTGGTGCACAGTCAACGGCAGGCAGCGAAATTTCACCGTGAAGCCCAAGGACTATTCGGAGAAGGAGGTGGAGAAGGCCTGGAAGCAGGCGGTGGCCTGGCGCAAGCAGCAGGAGAAGGAGAGGGAGCGGGCTGAGAAGGGTCAAAAGCGCTGAAGGCCGAGGAGGGCGCCCTCCTGACGCGCAAGTCGCTGCACTCCGGGCCGCCACTCGTGTGGTCGAGTGGTAAATTTAAACCTAAACGCATCTCTCACCAAGGATCCCTGCCTTGCATGATGCTTGTTCAACAACCCATAGGCAGGTAGACTCGATAGAGTGCAATCGCGGCGAAAGGCTGTGGGATCCTGCATGTATGCATCGGCAGTTGCCTTGAGCGGACGGCCGCGCACCCCTGCCCAACCCCTACAGCTTGATGTGTGGTTGTGCCTCGCAAGGCATAGGTTTCCGTACTTACATGCCCCCTAGTCCCTGAGCTCTCTTGCAAACCTTGGAGGCGTTCTGAGGCAGTGGCGTTGGCCATCTGAAAGTTAGACATGGCCATGGCCGAGGGATTAGTTGAAGACCGAGGCTTCTAGACCTAAACCCTGAACCCTAAACCCGACTGAGGCTTCTAGACCTAAACACTAAACCCTCTGGCTATGCTGGGTATTGTTTGAACGGCAAACCCGGATCCCGAACCCTACTTGGAGGTTCATGGTACTTCCTAACCAGTTATAACTGGGCTTATAACCCTACTTATAATTGGGATAACCCCAATAAGGCCCTTTAGGGGTATTATAAGTAGGGTTATAAGTGCAGTGATAAGTGGTTAGTAAGTACCATGAACCTTCAAGTACCACCCTAAGCCCTTGCAGTCTCAGAGTCACCCTCACGCCCATAAGGAGGCATCTCAAAGGGTTTAGGGTTTAGGGTTTAGGGTTTAGGGCTTAGGGTTTAGGAGGAAGCATCTCAATGGCCCTTTGCAACCTGGAAGACGGCCCCGAACCCGAAGCCCCTTAAACTTGAAGCCCGGGTTAGGGTTGTGTTTAGGGTTGATAGGGTTTATGGGCTTATAGGGTTTATGGGTTTGGGGCTTATAGGGTTTAGAGGGTTTATAGGGTTTATAGGGCTTATAGGGTTTAGAGGGTTTATAGGGTTTAGAGGGTTTAGAGGGTTTAGAGGGTTTATAGGGTTTATAGGGTTTAGAGGGTTTAGAGGGTTTAGAGGGTTTAGAGGGTTTAGAGGGTTTCTGGGATTTCTAGGGTTTCTAGGGTTTAGGGTACCCCTACCAGTCTTCCACCTCGCCCGAAGCCCCAGAACCCCCTCAGCCTCCAAAGGCCCTTGAAACCCTGAAGCCGCCCTCCGCGTCCTGACACCATGGCCCCCCGAGGAAACGATCTACCTGTAGTCCAAAGTTCCTTATCCTTATTATTATCCTTATTATTATTATTATGATTATTATTATTATTATTATAGTTTCCTTACATATCCCCCTTAAAAAGGGAGGTTGTTCAGGCTGCAGGTAGGGATCATCAGGGCGTCGCGCCACTCCTGAAGCCCTGAAACACCCCGGATCCGTACTTCCTTCGCCTAAGCAAAGCCCGAAGAAGGCTCATACCAAGGTCTGGGTCCACATGTGTTTAGGGTTTAGGGTTTAGGGTTTGGGGTTTAGGGTTTGGGGTTTGGGGTTTCGGGTTTAGGGTTTGGGGTTTAGGGTTTAGGGTTTGGGTGAGTGTATATCTAGGGCTCCTTACGAAGATGATGTGGGGCCGTCCTTCTGGAGACAACCATACTACTCGTGGAGACCCTGCCACATATTCAGAGGCCCTCAACCCGTAGGACCCTAAACCCCAAACCCCAAACCCCAAACCCCAAACCCCAAACCCCAAACCCCAAACCCCAAACCCCAAACCCCAAACCCCAAACCCTAAACCCTAAACCCTAAACCCTAAACCCTAGCACCCTAGTATTTTAGGAATCTAGCAACCTAGCACCCTAAAGCTCCAGAGACTCCGGGAGTCGAGCCTTACGAGCCCTGCGAGCGCCCTCAGAGCCTGAAGGTGCTTCGCAGCCCAAAGCCCTAGGCCCCAAACCCTAAGCCCTAAACCCTAAACCCTAAACCCTAAACAAACCCCGAAATTCTAAACCTTTAAATGCCCCCCCCCCCAACGCCCCAAGAACGCTGTGGTGATTTCGGGGTTTAGGATTTGGGGTTTAGGGTCTAAACCCCACAACCCTAAGCACCCTGAGCCTCATCCCCCAACCCCTAAATCCCTACTAAAAGAGACTTGTCGGGCGCCTACTAGCTGGGCTTTGGATTAAGCTACTTCGGGCCTCGCCAGGTAGGGGTTAGCTGGCACCCGAAGCCGCATCTCGCAGCCTCTCCACGGCCCGGATTTTGCCCAGTTGCCAGAGATGGCGTCCGCGGCGACGCCTGATGCGACTCTGCTGTGGTTTTGAAGAACCCCCCCCCAAAAAAAAGCCCCGGAACTTGAGGTTTGATCCTAAACCCTAAACCTTGGTGGGCGCGGGTGCTGTAGACGGGTCGTACTTGGCGTACTACTTGCCGGACTTGCAAAGACTCCAAGACACAGCCCTGAGCTTCGGGTCTCTGTTGGGCTTCGGCATTTTACGATTTCGGACTTTCGGCTTTCGGGGGATGGGATTCAGGGTTGGCGCTGGGTGTTAGGGTTTCGGATGGACCTTACACCCCTACGCCCGAACACTCGAAACCCCTCACCCCCCCAAAGAGCTCCGGAAACCCCAGAAGCCGGAAGCTCTCCCTGAAGCCCAAAACCCTAAACCCTAAGCCCTGCACCCTGGCATACCCAAAGCCTCTACAGCCCCAGCCCCTAGATCCCAAAAACCTACCCTGAACTCCGAAACCGAAAGCCCAAAACCCCCCAAAAGCCCCTAAAAGGGCCGTGGAGGCCCGAAGACCTAACCCTGAGGTGACAGTGCTCTCGGTGAAGCTGGCCAAACCACAGCGAGAGCGCGTGCGCAAACTTCGGCAGGCCCGGTTGCGTTTGGGCTCAGGGGTTTGGGGTGTAGGGTTGTAAGGTTGGCAGTTTCGGGGATGCTTTAGGGATTGAGGGTTGAGGGTTTCGGGGCTCAGGGTATCAGGGTTGAAGTTTAGGGCTATACGGTTTAGGAGAGTCCCCAAAACAAGTCCAAAGCCCTCAAGCCTAAGCACTAAACACTAGCCCCGAGACCTGAAGCGCTACGAGGTTCAACAGAAGGAAGGGTTTAGGGTTTGGGGTTTTGGGTTTGGGGTTTAGGGTTTAGGGTTTAGGGTTTAGGGACACCTCAAGCCTGAAACCTCACAAATCCAAGCCTTATCCCAAGGAGCTTAGTCTTGTTTGAAGGGCTTCGGCTTCAGGGTTTTTGTCGTCTAGCGCCTAGGGCTCTGGGCTAATGGACGCGTCCCGCATTTCCCGCATTTGGAGGGATGAGGTTGATTAATTGGACTTTGGGCTTCACAAGGATTGAGCATCTCGAGCTTGTGAGGAACCCCAAGCCCAAAAGCGACTAAACCCAAATTCTAGAAAGCCTTAAGATTGTAGGGTCTGGATTTCAGGGCCCCTGACTGCATGCACATCAGGGTTGTTCAGGGTGTTAGGGCAATTTCAGGTTTAGGGTTTCGGGTTTAGGGTTTCGGTTTTTGGGTTTAGTGGGATTTTTGCAATTTAGGGTTATGGGCTATGGCAATTGACTGACCTCAACAGTTGATACATGAATCTCCTGGGCGTTTGACCCTGAACCCTAAACCCTTCAACCGCAAACCCTAAACCCTAAATACATCTACACTAAACCCTAAACCCTGTAGGGGCGCCCTGCGCCCTAGAAAAATGTTCGCTGGTCCAGGGGCAGGTTGACAATGTCTCCCCTCGCGTGAGTGGCTACATCAAGAAGGAGAAGGCCAACCGATGCAGCATCGGGGATTAGTGCCAGTGTGACATGTTTTGATGGTGTACCTGGGATTTAGGGTTTGGGGTTTTGGGAACCCTTTGTGGGATTTCCTGCGACCAGGATTAGAGTAAGGGGTCCTCCGCATTTTGGGAATACCCATTTGGAAATAGTTGTGGAGTTCTATGTGCCTACGTGCCTTAATTTTCCCAGGTGCTTTCTAGTTCGTCATGGGGAAAGAGGGATAGGCTTGCTGGCTTGAGTCAGGGAAGGAGGTGCCCATGTGACCCCTTAAAGGGTTTTATATGAGCGGATCTTAGAGTTCCTGATTTCAGAACGATTAAGATCAAGGTCTGCGGTTCATATGGCGTAGAGTTCAGGGTCGCGGGTGTATCGGATTGGGGGATGGGGGGTCTCGGCGTTTAGGTAGCTCCTAAACCCAATTGCATTGCGCACTACACCCTAAGCCTGAAGACTCCTTCTCTGTTCTTCCGTTGGCGCAGGATGTCACTGACACAGTGGGCGGAAGGCAAGATGTCAAGCAGGAGCTGCATCTTCTCACTCTCTCTCTCTCTCTCTCGCGCGCTTAGTATACACTTTTTTGACTCGCTGCCCTGGCTGTTCTCTCGAACCTGATCACGTTTCTCCAGCCATGCGTTATACTCTGTGAGTTGCGAATCAGGGCTGCGGCAGAAGGGAATCGGGGGTTTCGGGGTGGAGATAGGGCTGCATGGGGGGTTCAGGGTTTAGGCTTCTGGGGTCCCCTGAATCTTACATCCGACTCAGGGCTCCGCTCGGATACTCGGCGGATAAAGGGGACTTAGTAAGTAGGCGTATGATAAGTACCTTAAAAGGGTATATATATATATACTACCGAATCATCATTAGATCCTCCAAATAGAGCTCCCAACCGAGCCAGGGTTTTCGCTGAGGGCTTGCACGCCATTGCATCTTATTGTCCAGCTGCGTGCAGGAGCTGGCAAAGGACACCAAGAAGGAGCCGGAAGAAGTCACGGTGGAGGTCAAAAAGGAAATCAAGCAAGAGGTCAGAGTTTCTTTCTAAGTCGGGTGGCGGTTTGGAGCTTATAGGCTTATAGCGTCTTTTTGGCATTTGCTCAGTCCTGGGCGGAGGTGAAGCGCCAGATGCAGAAGGAGGTGGCAAGCGTCACGCAGAGCACGTCGAGCTTGGATGTGAAGGAAGAAGTAAAGACTGCGACGTGCAAGGTGGAGGTGAAGGAGGAGAGAGAAACGGAGAAAGGCAAGGAGGTCAAGGAGGAGTCGAGGGTGGATGCGAAGGAGGAGGTGAAGGAGGAGGTGAAGGACGAGGTGAAGGAAGAGGTGATGGAGGATGTGAAGCAAGTGAAGGCGGAGGTGAAGGAGGAGGTGATGGAGGAGGGCGCTTCAAGCACGACCTAACTTCCACCCCCGAAGTTTGGTGTTCCTCTTCCTCGAACCTTACACTTGTCTCGACGTCGTCATTGTGAGTATGAGAACCACACGGCTTGTGTCGCAAGTTGATTGTAAAGCCCCTTTTGGGCGAAGCGAAGCAAGAGACCCCGCAACCCGACCCTTCTCAGAGGAGATGGTGGCGGAGATCAAGAATGGGGTGAAGCGAGAAGTGAAGTGTGAGATCAAGCGGGAGGCTGCGTGTCAGATTGTGTCGTGCAGTTTGCAACTGAATGCTGCACGAGAGTCCTAGAGAGCCACAGCTGGGTTTGCTAGCCTGATTCTTCGACACCAGCTGAAACGCGAAAAACAGCGGGTTGTTGGTTTGAGGTTGTGTGAGTTTAAAACCTCGGTTGAGGAGAAAGACTTAAACCTGGCAGACAAGTCCAGACCACTAGTGCCAGTTTCGGGATGCAGAGAAGTTTGTTGCAGGATCTCGCATGGAACAGCCAGACGCTGCTCGGCTTTGAGACATCCGGATTCAGGTCGCAGCGTTTAGATTGAACTTGGTTTGTTCTTCTGAGCCTGAACTGTAAGGGATGTTGCTGACTTCTTGACGTTTGTAGGCATGGTTGCAGTATCCGGACTGTCCGAAACCTAGAAGGTAATATGGTAAATCAGAGAGAGGACAGAGTAGGACAGTGAAGCCAAGCTGACTGAACCACCTTTCTCCTGAGAAAGTCCTCCATGCTCTTGACATCCTGTCCTCCTTATTGAAAGAATCCGAAATCCACTGCGTGCATAGATTGCCTGTTCTTTTGCACTATTTGTCTAACCCCACCGGGCGCTACAGAAATCGAGCACCCCTTTTTTTGCCAAGGACCAGAGTGAAGCAGGAGAGTGTGGAAGAAGCCCAGGGCACGTGCCCGGTCAAGCAGGAAGAGGCCGAGGAGGCCGGATCGGTTCGTCCCAGCAAGAGGCGCCGCATCAGTCACAAGAGGCCCGACATCTCGCCTCCGTCGTTTGAGTCGCGGCTGCCAGAGTGGGCCGAGAAATGCCTAGCATTTCAAAGCTCTGGCAAGACGTGGCTGCCCACGAAGCCTTGCTGTCCAGCCAGCCCGTTCCTGGGGCTGGCAGCTGCCGCGTGGGAAGGATGTAAGGAGGATAGGACACTGCCGTGCGTGCAGCGCCTGGGCAAGGTGCAGTTCTGCGAGTTCCGGGACTTCTTCCACGAGAACCCGCACCATGCCCTCTTCAATGATCACGGCAAGGACTCCAGTGGTTCAGGGCCAGTGGAGAAGGCGCACGGTCCCAGACCTGAGCACTTGCAGGATCCAGCTGCGAAGCAGCACCGCGCAGCCGAGATGATGAAGATGTGGCCCTGGATGCACGACCTTCCGACGCGGGCGTGGGCCGGCCACGGCTGGCTGGTGGAGGAGGACGGCATGCGCAGGCTCTCGCCGACGGGCGGCGGCTCCGCCATGAAGGGCCTCGAGATCTTCGAGGCCTTCGGCGCCGTGCCCGAGGAAAGCCAGGAAGCCGCCGGCGCCTCGGCTCCGAGCAGCTCCGGGGCCGCCGGAGCCGATCTCATCACGAGGAGCTTCCGCGGCCTGGAGCGCCAGAGCGGGGTGCAAAACATCAGGTGGAAACAGGACAAGGCATGCTGGTGTGTTTCCCACACGTACTCAGGCAAACAGAAGCAGCTCCACTTCCCCATCTCCAAGCGCATGAGGGAGGGCCTCTCCGAGGACGAGGCGGTGGCGGCCGCGCTGGCGGAGGCCAAGGCGCACCGCGAGGAGCTGGTGCGCCAGGGCAAGCTGCAGCCCCCGAAGCCCGTCACAGCCAAAGCCTCCGGGTCCACGGTGAGGGGCGTCAAGTGCCGGGAAAACGGAACCTTTCGGGTGCAAATCACCAATCCACGCACAAACAAGAAAGAGGAAGGCGGCACCTTCAAGACGCTGGCGGAGGCCGAGGCCAAGGCGCGGGAGCTGGCCAAGAAGCTCGGGCTCCAAGCCGAGAGCGAGGTGGTGCCGGTGGACCGGCTCGCGGAGGCCCCGCACTTCGAGCCGCTCGGGCCGCAGCCGGGAGTGAAGTGGAGGCACGGTGCGCAGCATTGGCGAGCCCAGTGCACAGTCAACGGGAAAAATCGCAATTTCACCGTGAAGCCCAAGGACTATTCGGAGAAGGAGGTGGAGAAGGCCTGGAAGCAGGCGGTGGCCTGGCGCAAGCAGCAGGAGAAGGAGAGGGAGCGGGCTGAGAAGGGTCAAAAGCGCTGAAGGCCGAGGAGGGCGCCCTCCTGACGCGCAAGTCGCCGCACTCTGGGCCGCCACTCGTGTGGTCGAGTGGTAAATTTAAACTTAAACGCATCTCTCACCAAGGATCCCTGCCTTGCATGGTGCTTGTTCAACAACCCATAGGCAGGTAGACTCGATAGAGTGCAATCGCGCCGAAAGGCTGTGGGATCCTGCATGCATCGGCAGTTGCCTTGAGCGGACGGCCGCGCACCCCTGCCCAACCCCTACAGCTTGATTTGTGGTTGTGCCTCGCAAGGCAAGGTTTCCGTACTTACATTGCCCCCTAGTCCCTGAGCTCTCTTGCAAACCTTGGAGGCGCTCTGAGGCCTTGCGGGCCGCCGAGGCCTCTGCGCGTAGGGAGTGGCATCAGTGGTGACACCTGACATTGGCCATCGGCAAGTTAGACAGACATGGCCATGGCCGAGGGATTCGTTGAAGAATGCCTAAACCCTAAACCCCAAACCCGAAGCCCTAAGCCCTATGCCCTAAACCCTAAACCTTAAACCCTAAACCCTAAACCCTAAATCCTAAACCCTAAACCCTCTTGCTTTGCTAGGCTGGGCATAACAGCAACCCCAGCTCCCAAACCTTAGAAGCCCCAACCTCATGGCTTCAGGATCACCCTCACACCCATAAAGAGGTTTAGGGCTTAGGGCTTAGGGCTTAGGGTTTAGGGTTTAGGGTTTAGGGTTTAGGGTTTAGGGTACCCCCTAATCTCCCACAGGCCCTTGCATCTTGCATCCTGGAAGCCGGCCCACAACCCGAAGCACCAGAACCCTAAATCCCCAAAACCCTCATAGCCTATCCCTACAACCTAAAACCCTAAACCCTAAACCCTAAACCCTAAACCCTAAACCCTAAACCCTAAACCCTAAACCCTAAACCCTAAACCCTAAACCCTAAACCCTAAACCCTAAACCCTAACCCTAAACCCCAAACCCCGAACCCTAAACCCTAAACCCTATCCCAGCCTTTTGGAAACCCAGAAACGGCCTGTGGAGCCCAGGCTCGACCCAAAGTACACGGTGATGGAGGGCATGGCATCGAGTTTGGACAGTTACACCTACTTGGCCGGGGAACTTAGGGTTTGGGGTTTAGGGTTTAGGATTTAGGGTTTAGGGTTTGGGGTTTAGGGTTTAGGGTTTAGGGTTTAGGGTTTAGGAACCCAAGCAGGGCTGCAGGTCATGGGGTGAAGGGTCTTAGGGGTTAAGGGTGTGGGGTTTTAGGGGGTTTTAGGGGGGTTTAGGGTTTAGGGTTTAGGGTTATAAGGTCGACTTAGGGTGTAGGGTTTAGGGGTGGAAAGGGCAGTGGGTTTTGGGTTTGGCTTTTGGGTTTCAGGTATGTAGTCACCCTTCTCCGGGTTGAGGGTTGAGGGATTCAGGGCGCGCGTTTGGGGGTCCAGAGGTTTCGGGTTAGAAGGCTTTGGAAGCTTTTTTCAGGCTCCAGGGATTTAGGTTTGGCTCTTGTCAATGTGTGGGTTTCGGGTTTAGGCTTTAGAGGTGAGGGATTAGGATTTCGGGTTTAGGTCGCTTTAAAGTGTTAAGGGCTAGGATTTAGGGGTTCAAAAGTGTAAGGGTTTAGACTGTTCAGGCTTTAGGCTGTGGAGTTTAAGGTCGATAGGGCTTAGGGATGTGTAGGGCTTAAGATGTAGGGCTTGGGAACTTGAAAGCTAGCCTTGAGGTCTAAAACTCACCCTAAACCCTAAACCCTAAACCCTAAACCCTAAACCCTAAACCCTAAACCCTAAACCCTAAACCCTAAACCCTAAACCCTAAACCCTAAACCCTAAAGCCCGAAACCCCCTAAACCCCAAGCGGGCCCATGGGGTGAAGCGTCAAATCCTAAAACGCGAAGCCCCGAAGCCCCTGAGCCTTAAGACCCTAAACCTGAAACCTTAAACCTTGGAATGCTAAACCCTGAGCCCTACTAACCCCTAAACCCTAAACCCTAAACCCTAAACCCTAAATCCTAAACCCTAAACCCTAAACCCTAAACCCTAAACCCTAACCCCTAAACCCTAAGCCCTAATCCATGACCCAGGTTCGGATGGTCATGCCCGACTACTCGCCTAACCCATATGCCGAGGGCTTCAGTGTGAGCCTCGGGGGGGCTTTAGGGTTTAGGGTTTAGGGTTTAGGGTTTAGCGTTTAGGGTTTAGGGTTGATGGCTTTGGGTCTTTGTCTGCAATATAGGTTTAGGGTTTGCGGTTTAGGTTTACACTTCAAGGTTTGAAGTTTATGGCTTCAGGGTTTGCGGTTTAGGGTTTGGGGTTCAGGTTTACAGTTTAGGGTTTGAAGTTTATGGCTCTAGGGTTTGGGGTTTAGGGTTTGGGGTTAGGGTCCAGGTTGAGGTATATGGCTGTAGGGTTCAATGTACAGGTTCAGAGGAGCCGAGGCAGCTTTGACAAGGTTGTCCAATGGTTTAACACGGGTTTAGCCTCCCTAAACCCTGAACCGGCTTCTTGTGGTTTAGTATGTATACGGTGTGGGGTTAAACTAACGGTTTTTTTTCAGGGATTAAGTTGGTCTTGGGGGGTTCGGCGTGTCGCGTCCCCAAGCCCTAAACCCCGAAGCATACACCCCAATCTCCTTAGCGCCCAAACTCTGAAGAGATTTCGGAACACTGGGCCCAAACAGCGCTGGAAGGCAATGCTGAGAGTCTAATAGGGTTTAGGGTTTAGGGTTTAGGGTTTAGGGTTTAGGGTTTAGGGGTTTAGGATGTTTTTTTGCTTTAGGGACTCTAGGGTTTAGGGTTTTGGCGTTCTAGGGCTTCAACGTGCAGGCTTCCGGGCCGCCCGAAAGCCTTCGACCCCAGGTCCTTGAACCCTAAACCCTAAACCCTAAACCCTAAACCCTAAACCCTAAACCCTAAACCCTAAACCCTAAACCCCAAACTCGAAACCCAAAATGAGGTGTAGAGCTGGTCTGCGTCGACATCAAACATCATCAGGAGATGATGCAGCGATCAGGCCCGGTTTCGGGCTGACGTTCGGGATTAGGGTTGGGCTTACGGTTTCCCTAAGCCCTGAACCCGAAACCCTAAACCCTCAACCCTAAGCCCTAAGCCAGTGGCGGGCGGCGAAGCCCTGAGACATTCAAGGTTTGCCTTCGAAGGTGCTCCTAAGCCCGAAGAACCCTTCAACCCACGGGGGGAGGGGGCTTTCGATATTAGGGGTACCTTATTGGGGCCCTGATCGTAACATTGGAAGGGGATCCTACTACTTGGGGGCCTATATTAGGGTGTCAAGCCCTCAACCCTGAACCCAAAACCCCCATATCATACCCTTCGACCCTTCTTCTCTTGATCCCTGAAACCCTTAACTCTAAAACCTGGTCCCAAAGCTTGAGATGCTGAGATCTCCCAGCTTCGCAAGGCCTCGAAGTCCTAACACACCCACAAGTTGGTTTAGGGGTTAGGGTTTAGGGTTTAGGGTTTAGGGTTTAGGGTTGGACAGTGTACATGGTGTTGGGTTCAAAAAGGGCACTCTCTATTTTGGCATCGCCGCTCTTTACAGACGTTGTAGCAGTCGAGTATACGCAAGCGGCTTGTGGCCGTCGATGCAGATCTGTGAACTTTGAACCATCGCAGGTTTAGGGTTTAGGGTTTAGGGTTTAGGGCTTAGGGTTTAGGGTTTAGGGTTTAGGGTTTAGGGTTTAGACCTTGAACCCAAACGGGGAAAGACAAGGGCAAGCCTTGTAAGCCCTGTGGGCCTCCTAAACCCTTCAATATACACCCCACAAGCCTTGTGCCCCGATAAAACCATGAAACACATATAATATAAGCCCTCTAAAATCGAAAGAGACCTTAAAAATCCTAAGCCCCAAGCCCCAGACCCTGCATCCTAGATCCCTAACACAACCCTAAACCCCAAACCCCAAACCCCAAACCCTAAACTCTGAACCCTCTAAGCTCTCAACAAGCCCTACAAAAAGGCGAAGACCCTAAATCCCTAAACCCTAAACCCCAAACCCTAAACCCTAAACCCCCTAAACCCTAAACCCTCTAAGCTTTAAAAAAAACCCTACAAAAAAGGCGAAGACAAGGGCAAGGCGTGGAGCCTTCTTCGGCGTCTCCGGAGGCCGCGAAACGGTCGTGGCGTGGAGGGGGGGGGTTAGGGTTTAGGGTTTGGGGTTTAGGGTTTGGGGTTTAGGGTTTGGGGTTTCGGGTTTAGGGTTTGGGGTTTAGGGTTGAGGGCTCGGGGTTTAGGGTTTTGGGGTTTAGGGGTTTAGGGTTTGGGATTTAGAGGTTAGGGTTTAGGGTTTGGGGTTTGGGTTTAGGGTTTGGGGTTTAGGGTTTGGGGTTTAGGGTTTTGGGGTTTAGGGGTTTAGGGTTTAGGGTTTGGGATTGAGGGTATAGGATTTGGGGTTTAGGGTTCTGCCTTTGAAGTTTAGGGTTTGCGGGTGCAGGGTTTTGGGGTTTGGGGTTTTGGGTTTGGGGTTTGGGGGTTTAGGGTCCTGAAGCAGTGACTCAGCCTAGCCCTCCTTGCCGTATTCTTTTCAGCAGGAAGGCGATAAACCTTAAACCCTAAACCCTAAACCCCTCAACCCCTAGACCCCAAACCCCTGGACCCTTAAAACCTAAACCCTAAACCCCTAAACCCGAAGCCCTAAACCCTAAACCCTGAACCCTTCTTTTCAGCAGGAAGGCGATGAGCGGGAGGGAGCTGCTTCGCAACGTACTTTGCGGCAGCAAGTTCTCGCCCCTCGGGCTTCTGGAGCTGGACTTTGGATATGGGGAGTCTAGGGAAGAGGGTTTGAACCCTAAACTCCAAAACCCTAAACCCTAAGCCCTAAACCCTAAACCCTAAACCCTAAACCCTAAACCCTAAACCCTAAACCCTAAACCCTAAACCCTAAACCCTAAACCCTAACTTAGCTGCAGCCCTTGAGTTTGCGAGACCGGCCGTGCTGCCCATTTTCCCGAGTAGTGTATGCAGAGGGTGTAGGGTTTAGGGTAACCTTTGAGCCAAAATCCTAAACCCC